ACACTAAACCTTTTACCCTTTCCTTATAAAGGGATCAGAGGCAATTTATTCATACTTTGAAACTACTATATGATAAATTTGCCTATGGCATGCCTCAATTATTTCGCCTTCAAAAAAAATTCGTGAGCACACTCTACAACTGTTCACAAGCCCAGAACAAACTGCTTGTTAGCCATCTATCGAATTTCCCGTCGAATCATCAACGAACGGAATTCGTTACCTTAACACCTGATTAGAGCTCCGTTTGTCGATGCATTTAAGAGAGAGTTGGATCAACTGAGAAACTACCATTGACAGGACAAACACAAGCCACCTAGGCTTTGTCTTTTAAAACTAAAACTGTAAGACAAACAGTGAAAAAGGGTTATGCGAATAGAGATTGAAGAATGGCAGCAATTTAGTATTAAATGCATCTTTATAATGTTGTAAGATAAATGCGATGTTTCGAATGCAATTACTTTAAGTTTTGTTTCAGACATGATTATTTACTTTTATTGTTTTCGTTGTTGTGACTCATTCTATGTTGAAACTGTTGTAATGGTATACTTTTAAGAAGGCAACCAAATTGCTGAAATGGAAACATTTATTATTTTACTTAATTCTAACAATGATTGTTCTATTGTACTCCTCTTTTTTATCTGCACTAAAGACTATAACTCGCACGCCAACAGTGTCATTCCCACTCCGCGTTTCTCCTTGAGGGTTGTTAGCCACTTCTTTATACCGAGCTTGATATTATTTCGGTATCATGAGGCCACGGACAAATATACCTCTTCATCCAGATACTATCTCCTCTGACTTCTGGATCTATCGGGATTCAACTTGGTAATCTCGCGAAGAAGAAGAGTTCTTTATTTCGTCATAATTGATGAGCAACGACAACAAACGCGCATCAACTACGGTTAATCTGTCATTTTTCTATCCCCTTTCTCATTATTTTAACTGTCGGATAATATATATGGATACTTTCTCATATATACATTATATTGGCAACATGGACCTAAAATTACTATAACCTAACAGACTCCCAGATACGGGTTCTTAATTTTTGACCTTTCGCAACAGCTCCGAAGTTCGCATCGTCCCTGTCACATTTGTAGTGCTGAAAAAGAAAACAACAGAACAAACAGGAACGAGTGATCAATAAGATCTGAATAAGCGCGATGGAAATAACTTAGTTATGCCAGTTGAAAGGTAAATAGTGACTCAGGAACATAATTGCTAAAGAAGAAAGTTCAAATAAACAACAAGACTTACCAGCAGTCAGTAGAGATTTGTGACAGCGAAACAGGTCTGAGCTAAAAGAAGAAATGCTGAAAGGCAAAGTATCTATAATTTTCGAAAAACTAACGGAAACGTAATGCTATCTTCTGTTATTTTGTTGTTTTTACTAAATTCCAACTTTCAAGTCAGCATCAGATTGCATGTGATAGCATTACTTAGTAGAAACGTGAAACCAACACAAGGTAGAAATCATGAGTCTGTGGGGGGACAAACGCAGGGAAACAACCTCATTAACGAGTAGTTGCTACGTCACCATTCATAAAGAGCCTGTAACAGATAACATAGGTGGATTGAAACCATCGCCCTCATCGTCAGTGACTAAACTACTCCCTTCATCTTTTGACGTGATGCTCCAAAAAATTAACTTTTAGATTTCAATCATATTTAGTGTCCAAGCCCTATTTTCCACAATTTTATGGAATACCATATTTCTGCGATATCATGTACAAGAACATTGAACAGTTGAGTTTGTAGAATAATGGTTGCACCTAGAAACAGAATTATATTTTAGCATATGATAAAGTATGGGACCTCCGACAAACAAGTCAACAGGAGCAAGTTAACGGATAAAATCGTGTGAAAATCTAATCTAATTCCGATATTGAAGGGTAGCTTAATGTGGTTTATTCTGTATTTAAAGATTCTGTAAGGGCCACAGTAAGAATGTGTAAATACTGGGCTCTTAACAGTGAATCACAAAATGTAAGACATAACATTTGTAGAATCCTTTTTGAATGTTTTGTGTTTTGGAAAATCCCTCCATGTTTACATATTTTTGTTATGACATGACGGACTTTTTCTGTTGACATTTTTGGTATTTTATTTGATTCCAATTTGAGATTTTATCATTGTATATTGTTATTATTTCTATATTTTGTACTTATATTGAAGTTTTGTGTTTGCTTCTGATTGTATATATGTTGTTTAAATTTGACCTTTAATATGGCTACAGCCATATTTGGATTGATCCGGTTGCAGTTGGACTTAACGCCACTTACTCATCCTTGTTGGATACTCTTCGGAGTAATTGTAACCTGGAAGGAGCATTAATTCCAGGTAATGCTTTGTATTTCCATGTTTTTATTAAATAAGACCGCTTTCTCCTAGAATTTTTGTCCTCTTTTGATTTGTTTGGACCTGGGACTGGGAGAAACGAGTACAGGAGTGCACCTATTGGAACCCATTGGAACTGCCACCGTAGAAATCGATTTACAACATTGTTGAATCAACTGAATTTTACTGTCTGCATCCAACAGAGACAACCAACTGAATCATCTTAAATTGTGTTCACTTTCAATCTGATTTTCAGTAAGCGAACTGAATCCGACTTGGCCTAATACATATATTCATTATCCAATAACAAAAGAATATGAATAACTGTGGCAAAAAATTAAAAACAAATAACTCTGAACTCTTTATTTTTCTCCCCTATTAGGAATCTGAAAATGTACGGCTCAGTTTCACCATAATTTGCGCCTACATCCTGCTAAATTCCTAATTTGTTGAATTCTGCTTTTTACCCTTGAAAGACATCAATACAGAAATTTTGTTGTCCTGTCATGACCGCATTCGACATACCTTAAAAAATTGGGTACTTTTATTATTGGCATCTTCCCAGATAACTCAACATGAGTTTCGATGAAAAAAATTGAATAGAACAAATAAGCGGACAGGAAAAACTGTTAAACTTCGACTATATAGACCTCTGAAGGCACTTCTGAAATCCAGATAACACTGAAAGCCCAGTTTTAACGGAGAGGTTTACAGCGAAAAGAAAAAAAGGGATTGTCTGTCTCGACTAGAAATGGGTTGGCTAAGCCGAGAAAAAACAGTCGCCTTGTGAGTTCCCGAGTTATCAGTCCTTGAAAACGAGCTCTGCGAATACCTTTATGGATAAGTTCTTCCTTGTAAAAGTTTTTTACACAAATACTAGTAGTATAGAAAATTACTTAAACTAGGAGTATCAGCGGACAAATTCAAACCACTCACAATAACCGCAACCTAGCTTCATACGACCATGACGTTGCTTTGATGTGCATCTACCTGTGAATTAACAGAAACAAATTCAGTATAGAATAGGTCCTTGAATACATAAATAGTACTGAAAACAAGCGCTCCGTAATTCGTGAATCCTATGATAATTAGAGTTGTGCAGTAACTAGCCGTAGGTTCACTATAGAAGGTTGAACGTCAATTCTCGTTGTCATCTGTCGTGACCAAAGTTGCTTAGTTGATTTTTCATCTTTCGGAACTAACAGCTATGAAATAGAAATAACGGGTGCCTGATAACACTAGGTTTCAATTCACCTGATAAAAGCTGTATGTAATTGTCCGCCATAAGATGAGAAAATTCATTCAACAGTTGACGGCTGGTAACTTTGACAGAGTATGTTTCCGAACCTACACGTTTCGGCTCATACTAAAGACCTTCTTGGTTCGAATTAGTATTCATTCTTGAGACCGAGAAAATTTCATGTCTTAATATTCTCCCCCTTTTAGATAATAGTTGTCGTGCCATTTTGTCATCCATGTTCGGGACTTCAGACAGTATTAGATGCGAATCACCTTTCCTTAGTCGGGGAGAGAGTAAAAAAAACACCTAACCAGTTTGATGACTCTTGAGCAGTCTGAACAGCTAAAACACTAGTGTTGGAGAGCACCTAAATAGCCCTCATAAAAGTCTTTAGACGTAAAGGAATTCCAGGAAACGTTTCATCTTCTCCGAAGCATCTGGAAAATGGTGAATCACGTACAGTGATCTTGAATGGGCACAGTGCTATTATATTCACAGTGGTTCTTCAGCGTTCCATAGACCCAACGTCACAAGTGATTCTGTAAATGTTCTCACTTTTCTGTATATGGGATAGTCATGGATTAAACAGTTTATCTAGTACCTCGTGCTTTTTCGCTTCCGTTCAAGCAGCAGTAATAAACTACAAAACCTGAAAGTAACAGTAAGCAGCTACTTTAGGACTACGAGAAACTGTAAGGCTACTATTCTTAAATGATGTAGGGTCTAACGGTTTATTCATTAGTCCTTTAATCACTCCGACAAAGAAAGACTTAGAATGTTTTGCCCAAAGTTTTTGAGGATACATTAGGAATATGCGATTCATGCGGATAGTCCTTGTTTTAGATCAGAAGTAGATATTCTAGTATGAGTTCAACGTTAAGTGCTCAAAGTGGAGAAAGGTCTTAGTGACTTTTCACATGAAGAAAGCCTGAAGTGTCTTAACCTGTTTCCATTATATTGCCACAAGCTACAAGATAATTTCATACTGGCCCGCCTTGGACTTAACGATAATTTTGGTGTTGATGTTTCATTTAATCGACATTGCATCTAGGACCGATCATTTCAAGCGAAAAACAGAACTGAAATATTTTATGCCTGGAGTTCTGTTACTCTCATTAAATGGTGAATTACTGTAGCTCTCAACCAGAATAATTGATATCAGGACCTTCTACTGAAGCATTCAAAGCGATATCAGATCTTTACAGTACCAAAAATTAGAAGTACTGATCTCGGTCGCTCGACCTATCTTTGTGACCAAAAACTGAAGACTGAAGACTTGCCTTTTTACGTCTTTTTACAGCTAAAATACTTATTTGTGTACATACCTAAATTAACAGAAAGCTTGTTTTACAATTGATCTCGTACATTTTCAGCAGGCTGTATTTGTTTCTTCTTGTCGAACACTGACCTTGTTTAGAGGTGGGTTGGTTCAAACCTGGGGTTTTTGGTGTTGTCTTGGCGTATGAGGTATTACGGGCAAGTGAGGTTCAGGTGTTACTAGCTAAATTAAGTATTATCTAGCCTGCCGACTAACGTGAGTTTCGTGAGAATGCGTGTGCTCTGTAATTACTCACTCTTTGCACAGTAAGATATTTCGGGGAATTTATAAGTACGGCTGTCCTTATTAAAAAAAACTAGTCAACCTTAGTAGTAAAGCTAACCTGTTCTAACCTCAAGCTTTCCTGTATGACATCAAACAATACGTCCGACCATTCTCATTCTATCGATAAGTTTCATAATTTTGGGTGGGAATCGTTTGTGCTATTTTTTCTAATTGATTGAATGATCGGTAACCATATATTTTGAAAACCAAGAAACAAGTATACTCGTAACTAATGTCCCTAATATCACGTAGCGTGTATTGTAATTTATTTAATAGTGATTGTGAAGAAGCTAAGTGAGAAAGCAGAATCTAAGTTAGTCAGTTTTCTGGACGCCTTCAGAATGTAAACATCCTTGTTAAAAAATATGAATTTCGGTCATAAATTCCAAGCCTCATTTGCAGTGCTTAAGGTTTTGACTAATAAATTTAGTGATTCTAGACAACACCATTTAGGATTAACTGACATTGAAGTGCATTACCAGAAAAAAGTGCCCGAATAAATTTATGTAAGCAGTCCCTTCCTTTGCCCTTATATGCTAGGGAATTATCAGTTTATCAACCTGAGTGCTTACTTCTTGATGAGGCTTTCCTCAGCTTTTTTAATTGCTCGTTTGCTAGTTACGTATTTTTAATAAACGTATGTTGGGTGATAAACGAAGTGGTTTCTGTGCGTACTAGCTTATGAGCCCACGCTGAGGTTTTGCTGGAACATGCTATCCATTACTTATTTATAGACCTATACTGAGTATTTGACAAGCCTATTACTAGTATAACTTGCAATTTTTTGTAACCTTAAGAACTGGATAACATAGTCACTAAAATATTCGGTCAAATATAACTTACCGGTACAGATAATCGAACTATTTAGGTCGTGCTTGGTGATCACTTGATTTCGAGCAGCCTGATACTAAATAGATTTTGTTTACGGTCGGTTATTGTGATTTTAAAAATTTAATTGTTTTAATTGCCATTATTTTCACAGTTCTCTTTACTTTCAAATGTGTTTTTTTTTTACAGATTTCTGCTACTTTCGTCTGAAATTTCTGGATTTTTCTGATCATTACTTCTGGGCAGACGATAAATTCATCTAGCTCTCTAGTTTTTCCAAAACTCTGTGATGCACAATGAACGTCGCGGTTTGAGACCAGATCTAGAGGCGAGAATAGCTGACACCATTCGAGTAGTAGCCTGCAAACAAAATCAAGACTTACGAATCACTTTCGCCAATGATTATGCGTGTTCAGACAGATCAAAACCTACTGGTAGTAAAGTAGTACATTCTGCTTCGGGCTCAGGATTACAAGAAGCTTATGGTCACAAAATGCAGCATCAGTCAGTCTCAACTACCCACAAGTGAGATTCTTCGCTTCTAGATTGACATATTATGCCGGTATCGGTTATTTGCATCTAGCATAATTTGTATTAACTAGTACGAGCGAATTTTTGCAAACAATTCGTAGCCCATACACTGAGTTGACGTGAAATCTGCAATCGATTGTACTATTTCACATAAGCGAAAACTCTAGTATTTCACTTCACCAATTTACGTCACACCAAGGACCTCCGTTACTTTGAGTTTCCGATGCCCCTCATATTTTAATCTTCGTCCATTATCTTTATATTTCATCATTGCAAAGCGTAAAGAACAACACTTGTCTTATTTCGCGAAGTTTCTTGTTACATTGTCTCCCTCAATATTATCCAATTCGACTTGTTACTACCGCTTTTCACCATTATATGTAAGCTGAAGATGTATATTCAGTCGTCATTGGATACCCAGATTCAGCTTCTGAGCAACAGAAATAATGGCCAATTTTTCACCCTTCCATAGTGATATTTATGTAGTATCAAATTTTTAAGATCAATCTATCTTGATAAAATATAAGGTTTCCAAATACTTTGGGCAAAATTCTAAAAATAGTTTCTGCTTTTAGCGCCCATGTTTAGCTCCACCTTGCTACTCATTTACGCCGTTTGTGATTTTGTAATCGACCATTGTCACATTACATTAATGCGAAGTCTAGTCAGAAAGACAAAATACGAAGTGTGTGAGGGTTCTTTAATTTCATACATTCATTTATAAGCAAACAGTCATGTGAGCGAAGAATAAACAAATGTACTGTGAAGTTGAGATCAAACAATTGTAATCAAAGTAAGTCCCTCGTTCATGTAAGAATAGACTATGAAATACAGTGAACAGGTAGACAACCAAATTCATCCTCACATATGACCGGCAAATATAGGCACTGTCAAGGAAGCCCTACTCACTACCTCGTGGCGGGGTGTTTATGTTATTGATAGGATGAAAAGCGAATGTTTGAGGCTTGAGTTAGATTGGTGGGTGCGGGGTGTCCAACTTGGTGAGTTCAAAAACCCTGATCCCAAACCACTGTTGTAGATAGATCCTGCGAGAACAAATGGCGCATTAACCTTTTGTTGGTTACTGGCTACCATGGGATCGCATCTCTTAACCGTTTCCCAGTACCTTTCAGATCAAACTTTTGTGTTAAAGGGAGCGCCGGCGTCTCTAAGAAAACCACTTGCTTCGGTTTCATTACCCAGATTGTATCCCAGTCCATACACTAATTAAGTGATTTTTGTGGTGCATAAATCTCGATGCCCACTTGTACCAATGTTCAAGTGTTTGAATAAAAGTAAAAATTCTAGAACTAGACATACGTATACACAAGTATATCAAAGAAACCATCAAGGTTAACATACGACTATTTAACATGAACAAGTATAAATGTACGAAATAACTAATAAGATTAAAATAATTTATTTTTCAAAATTCTACAATCGCCTAGGCGTTATAATCGAGAAGTTACTATATGCTCTTGAATTAATCTAAACCCAGCCACGACTTAGTAGTCTATCTGATAGTAGTTATTTTTATTATCTAAGATGAGCAAGTCATTAAAAATGTTATTTCTTTTCCAGAGGACCTCGACTTAATAGACACTATGGAAACGATGGCACTTTTATCTCACCTACCATAGATTCGCATATTCCAACCAGTTACGGATCTGCTAACAGACGTCCACCCATTACTAAATCAGGTGGGTAATACAAATCTATACGATTGTTTAGGATAATAAATAGCTTAATATTAAAACTTAAAAAAACGCTAGTACTTTGTAAGTCTCGCAACCTGTTTAGAATCATTATTACACACACTCAAGATTGGTTTAGGTCTGTAGTTATTAATAAATGTCTTTGATTCAGCCTGTTTTATCATATCGGTGGTTGTATAGTCACGGCTCATTGGCATGTTTCCTGGCAGTTATTAGGTGAGTCCATAATAAAACCGCTTTCTTTGGTTCATATAAGTACATTATTCGATTCAGTTACAGTTTACATGCTCACTACCTATAAAATATGCATTTACTCATCTGTCGATAAAGGGTTACTATCAATGCTTTTTTATAGAAACGCTAAAATACCAGCAATTAGAGGATGTATGCTGAATGGACAATCTGATAACCACTAAATTTGATTGGCTTTATGACAATTCGTAGTATTATAGACGGACCTTATCGTTTCTTTTACCACCCAGTATTTGTACCAGTAACCGCTTCTCGCTGTGGAATCTCATGTGTTATACTTGCCCAAGTTTATAAATTTAGTTCCGACCGTAGCTGCTACCTTGACGTGGTCGTTGGGCTCGCCTATTGTGATGACCCCCAACCTAACTCTATTGGTTGAAACATGTGATCCTGTATGTTCTACCAAACCAGGCAGGTCGATTGGAGAACGATGAGACCGAAAGCAGCAGCTAAGTGTTTAAGGGCGAAGTCGTAATACTGAATGTAAAGGAGTTAGACAACATTAAGGTGTTTCCCTTGGACAACCAGCATCTGCAACTTCTCATAAAAAAGCTGTGCGTGACCGGCCCCAAGCAGTTGTCCCTCGAACTCTGCGGTAACGCTCCCAGGACGCGCAGATCAACACTAAGACAACAATTTTTCAGGCTCCTAAAGAAATACCACTTCCACGGTTTGTCCGAAATGCAAAATGCTGCTTCAGGATTGGCATGCTTAGGCACCCGAACTATTGATAGGGAGTGGTGTATTGTGTCGACCAAATAACCTATCTCTAGAGTCTTACAGTGCTGATGGCCTGGTGACTGACGAAATTTCTGCACGAACAAAGAAGGCCGGATTGACTTTTGTCAACTTGCGTCACTTATTGCGTAGGCGAGATATCCATTTGCTAACCAGAGGACGAGTCCATTGCGCAATAGTTTACTCCATCCTACTATATGGATACGACACATGGTCTGTGAGAGTAGAGGACATTCGTAGGTTGTTAGTATTCGATTATACCTATCTTCGAATCATTGCTTATGTATGCTGGGACAACCGAGTAAGTAATGCTGTCGTCAGGAAACGGGTATTGGGTAAGGGTGGCAGATCAATAGACGAAGTATTGAACCTTCATCAGTTGAGGTGGTTGGGACATGTGTTGCTTACTCCTAACCACTGACTGCCTTGACGAGCAATGTTTTGTGGTGTAGTATTTGGTTGGAATAAAGTTGGGGGTGGCCAGACCAAAACATGGCGCGAATCCATGAAGTTACTGACAACTGGAGTCAGTCGTGTTGGGTCTGCCATACGATACTAACTGATGGTTAGAGACTTTAAACGACATGGCTCAAAACCGTTTGCAATCGCTCTCAAATCCTAATCTTCCGAATTTGTCACCCTATTCCTGTTTCTAAATTAATTTCACTGGATTATACTTCTTGAATAACTACTTTGAACCCTAGTCTTCTCCATTACGGTTAATTCTTCCGCTGTTTCTACCACTATGGGATTTGAATTTGACAATGGCATCTCTGTACTACTGTTCTCTTACGACCTGAACTGATGCACGTACATACGAAGTTTTACGTTGTAACTGCCTGACTCTATAAAGTTAGTACAACATTATTATTATTATTCACTATCTGTAAATTTGTTACTTATTTCAGTATTTCGCAGTACATAATTGCCATTAATTAGTAGCAGCTTTCTTAACGTGGTGGTATTCAAGTTTAGTGATTTGCATAGTCATTTTTATTTCTGTGATGCTAGAGACACTAAATGCGAATGGTGATTGCTAACTTTCTAAGTACCTTGTATGGCACTGCTCACTATCACAGAATGTCTTCTGTTTACAAACGTTTAAAAGCGCCACTGGTTACAACGCTACAACCTTCCTTCAAATATTTTAAAGATAAAAAGGAAAGTGATACTGGGCAAGCTTGCCTATTAATCTGGGGCGATGGACGATGTTCTATTAGTCTACCTGAACTATTTTTTCAGACCTTTGAACACAGTAATTTACTCAAGTGCATCAAAATGATTGTAATTAGTCATGTGCTCGGAGGTGTCTTTTGAAGAATAACCAAGTGACTTTTACAATTAGCAGTTATCAATGACTTTTGCTGCCATTTATAAAAATTTGACTTTCCAAAAGAGGCATTAGCTTTTGTCATATTATGTTATGAATGTTACCGTGCTCAAAAACCTTATTATAAAGAGCTAAATGCATTCGTATTCATTTTGTATGTATTTTTAATGAATGCATCTTGGTGATTACTGAAGGTGTTCATCAAAACTGCGTTTTTTAGTCTTCTGTTTCCTGAGGTCCTGAGATTCATGTGAGTCCTTAACCCTAACCGAATGGTCAGATGACCCGATTTCTGGTTTCAAGGTAGATTTACAGAATTACTCTGGTAGTGAATCGGTTTAAATCTACCCAAGCCTCACTCAGTTTTAAATTCTTTCTGTTTGTGTTGAGCTATTTACATGTTTGTTGTGCTTCTTTACTTGCGACAGAGAATATCTGTTCTATCAAAACCCTTCACATACTAAAAGAAAGCGCATTTCTACCTGCCCATGCTACCAGCCGTAACTGCTGTAGCCTGCAGAGTTTTGCGCACATTTTAGTTTTTAGTCCAATGGTAAATGAAACTTAAATAAATATTCCGAAAAACAGCGTATTTTAGCGGTTATTGTTGATCGGTC